TTGTCAATTGAGTCTGTTACTTACTGCCTTGACACAGGTTCTCTCCCACATTTTGTAGCATACTGCCATTTTATCGTATCACATGAGTTGTTGAGCCCATTGTTTGAATAAAAAAAATAGTTTTCGGTCGAGGTGCAGGATTGAGCCAAGAATGAAACCTCCCGGGGATCGACGGAACTGATAATGCAGTTCGCAGGCAAAATAGATTATGCGGTCCCTACCCGCCCGAACCCGCCCGCAAATTTGATCAGAGACCCTGACATGACGGGATCGCCTACGTTGGCCGGGTAATTCAACTCTCGGAAATGCTGAAATGGATAGACGGGCACCCGCAACACCCGTAACTACAGCGACGGCGTGTATCCCGATCGACTGTGTTCAGGCGCTGACGGCTCGAATCCCGGTAGATCGCACCGCACAAAGGATGGTCGGAAGGAGAAAGTTGAAGTTGAAGCGATTTAACAGTGGCAGTGGCCATGCCTGGCTCCGAAACGTTAAACGGTCACCTCAGTTGACCTCAGATCTCGTTAACCATTAATTTTTGCAAACTAGTAGGCGTGGGTGTGAATTATGGTTTAGACGCTCGATGAACCTTGCGTCCAAGATTACTTGAGACTCACTCTTAAGCGCGACTTGAGCTGCACCTGGGCTGGAGATCACAAAGGATTCAGAACGAACGAAGCCCGGGTTCAGTGATTATCCAATAGCCAGACACGCACAAACTCCAATCGCCGGACAGAGACAGGCGTACGAACAGGACGGCCCCCAAAAAAAGGAGCAGAAAAATGCGGTTCGCAAAAATATGCAGCTGCCAATGGTTCTGTCGTGGAGTCGGATGATTAAATGGATGGATGCAAAGGACCGATAATCCGCGGCGAGACTCCCGATTCAGAGGGTTCAGATTCATTATCGACACAGCGATGTGTAGATCTCGTGCGGCGGGGAGCTAACATGGGTCTCCGACTTGTGGACGAGGGACTCGTCGAGTGTGGAGAAGACGACCAATACGTGGATTGGCACGGATCTGATCTTCAGGCGGAAACCCGGCACCCCCACTCGCCTCGGCCGTTCCGACTCGGGACCTTGCGCGGCAATCCCTTCCTTCCTTCCCACTCCGCCCACAGCATCCCGGAACTGTCCAGCATGGGCAACGCCTGACGCAGATACTCGTGTTCATAGTCGATGTCGGGGCCCGGGGCGCCCTGCTCCAAGTGTGTCTTAGGCACTTTGCCACGACACTTTGCAGGCGCGGAAATCGTGCGAAGGACAAAACGCATCTAGCGCTGCACAATCGAGGTCCCTATATGCAGACCGAGAGACTTCCAGCACAAGGCGCTCGAACGTCGGAGCCGCGAGTTTTCCAATGAACGGCATCATCCGGGGTGTGTCGCCGTCCGACGCGTCGGAGAGTTTCAGGGTATTGGGGTTTTGGTGCAGCGACAAGTCAATCATCTCCAAAAGCTCGGCTGCACAGGGCAGAATGAGTACATATATTAAATGAAAACCGCAGCTGTGTAGACGCACCGGCTTCTCCGAAGAAGCCACCGAGAGTAACGAGTAATGCTGAGATTGTGGAACGCACCGCCGATCTGCCGCTGCGCTGCGCGCACTATGGGCGGAGAGGTGGTATCCTCCGGTGAGGAAGCGAGAGCGAGTGAAGGGCGGAGAGGTGGCCGGTTGCATGCAACGCCTGGCGCAGATACTCGTGTTCAGAGTCGATGTCGGGTCCTTGGCCGCGCGCCGTGCTCCGAGTGTTTACAGTGTTCTGTGCGCTTCACCACGACACTCTGCAGGCGCGGAACTCGTGCGAGGGACAAAAACGCATTGAGCGCTGCCCAATCGAGTTCCCCGGGGACCGAGACAGATTGCCTTCCAGCACAAGGCGCTCGAAGGTCGGAGCCGCGAGTTTTGCGATGAACGGCATCATCCGAGGTGCGTGTCGCCATCCGACGCGTCGGAGAGTTTCAGGGTTTTGAGGTTTTGGTGCAGCGACAAGTCGATCATCTCCAACGGCTGTAGAGGGGGGGTAAGTACATATATTTAGACGAGAAAACATGTAGACGCACCAGATTCTCCGATAGAGTAATGCTGAGATCGTGGAGCGCAGCATCGATCGTCGATCTAGCGCAGCGCTGTGTGCACTATGGGTGGGTTGGTGGTATCCTCCAGGTGAGGCAGCGAGGGCGAGTGAACGATGAAGAGATGGCTGGCTGCATGCAAGAATCTGACCCGCCCACTCCTGGGGAGGCGCAGGCTGCGCAGCTCTGGGGCGGTACCGCGGCGGGTGCATCCTCCATGCGCACGGAATCTCGCATGTCCAACTCCTGCAATGCAGGGAAGACACATATCAAAGTGGCGAGCTGCTAGAGACTGGGGTACGCCAGCACCCAGAAGTCACACCCAAGGCGCGTGATTCTGGGGAAGGTCGTACGGAGAAATAGGTCGAGAATCACAGCCTCGAGATCGTAGTTTGTCGTGAATCCCATCTGCAGCTCTCGGACGTTTGTGAGGCGGGCGTGATCCGGTGTGATTTCGTTGAAGCCGCGGTAGTCTTTGGGAGCGTGATGGTGCAGGTTGACTATGCGCACGTGGGTCCACGGTGCAGTGGGGAGACCGGAGGAGGCTGGAGGAGGTCGAGGAAGGCGGTGGCGAGGTAAGGTGAGATCGGTAGCGGGAGACCCATCCGCGGGAAACAAGGGAACAGGTTTTGAGAGAGCGACGATCGCCTGCAGAATATTCGTGGTTTTTGTTCACCAGTTCTTGGGGAACGGTCATGGTCGTTCTCCAATGAAATGGGAGCTACAAAATGGCTTTTAGTAAACCTCCGGTCTGTCGACAGTGACGCTGGCGCACCAACCTGTAGCCAGATGCAAGGGCTTAAAGGAAGGAGGGGGGGGGAAGCTCAGAGCCTGAAAAGAGTTCAGTGGGAGCCAGAAAATAGCCTGAACCCCAAACCCCGGATGACCCTAGACTGAGAGTGTCGACAAGATGTCAGAAATCATTGCAACGCGATTGGAACTTGAAGGCGCGCGGCGGCGTTGTGTCGAGTGCTTCCCTTCGAACGCACAGTATTATCTTCGACCGAGACCACCAAAAATCGAGTAATCTCGTTGATGTCATGATGGAGGTCGCCGCTGGCGGAAAGGGTAAGCGGAGTAATGGACGGGCGTTAAAAAATGATAGGATGTGCAAAGGATGTGATATTTCCTCGATATTGGGGTAGAAGATTCATAGAACGTCGGGACAGTACCTAGGCTTTCGGGGCCGCGGACCATATTCCGCCAACATAGAAGCCAAAGGTCACTTCATGGACGCCAAGAGGGAGGTCTACGGGCGACTGGTCCAATGCAGAACTGGGCACGCATTCATTGGTGAGTACTACGCTAAATTCGTGCCTATGGAACGCATTGGGTGTTAGTGCGGGGAACGTTTCCAAACGCGGGAGCACATACTACGGGAGTGCGAGAAGTACGCGCAACACCGCGATCTGCTACATGACGCGTCGCCCGAGCTGTCCCTTCCTGAGATCCTTGGCACCGAAAAGGGACTCCAGGCGCTGGCGAAGTTCCTCGAGGCGTCAGGCGCGTTCACGACAACCAGCTGAGACGCGAGACAGAGCCTCTGGCGCTGGAGGACGAAGAGAACCGCGAACACGGCGGAGGGGGATGGGGATGGGCCAGACGGGGAGGAAGTGGAGGGGAGCGACGGGAGCGACGGGGAGGACGGTTGAAGACGGCGAACTCGCCAACACCGCCACACGCTTACCGTGCCGGCCCGGGGAACTTCGCATTCCCACAAATCAAGTTTCAGATCCGGTAATATTTTGCCTGTTAGCTTGAAATGCTTCGGGCTTGCCATATATGGTAACCCCGAAAACTCGGGCTTGCTATATATGGTAACCCCGAAGGATTTCAATGTCCCAGAAATGTAAAGTTTTAGACCAATCTGATACATAACATAATACTTTCCGTTTAGAAACTAATTTATGTTGCCTTGAAATTTAGGGCTTTGCGGTGTGCCTATCATTTCTACCCGAGACTCCCGCACGTACCCCCCACGCAGAGCAGACACGCAGACTGGATATCGATACTGTGAATGGTCAGACAAATAATCACGACGACGACGTCCGGTACTTATTTTTTATGGCGTGGTTATCTACTACACCCATCTTAGCTACTTAGTATAGCTTGCGCCGTTAACCGATTCTCTCTCTCTCTCACCTAGGCTTTCGAGCTGGCAAACAGTCCGATCATATTCGAAGGCAAACAAAGCCAATCAATCCCACACACATCTCCTCCCAATCCTGAATAGGAAATTAATGTCCTGGCTCACACAATTCATGCCTAGGGATTCCTTCACAGCAAAAGCCTGTCCATTAATCAAATAATATGCCATGTCTGTGGTGGTCGGCAAGGCACCGCTAAATTCAAACTCCGACACATACATGCGGGATGGTCAGACCCATTTTCTCAGTATAGAAGCATTTTTGGGGAAACCTTTGGCAGAGAAAAATGATTGCATTACATCCCTAATCTAAATGATTGAAACAGATTTTTTTATATGTGGTCCGGAGGCACATAAAACGCACAGTTTGAAGTAACAAGCTCTCAATATCTGGGTCATCTAGACTGATATGAAAAATCGGCCTCAATCATTTGAATCCAGAAAGGATGAGATAATTTTTAAGCACCATCCGCGATACCTGAAGTTCTCCTGGGTGGGTAGAACTCTAGGACGATGAATGGTTAATTAACACGGAGTTTATAATATCAACCAACTTTTAAGGCTCAAATTACCCTCCAACTGAACTTTACTGAAGCTATTTACGATTCTAAGGTCGATTTCGTGGCCTTTGGGTCCTTAGAACCATGTTTGAGCAAAAGAGAGAGATTGGAATAGGGGGCAATTTCCAAAGGCGGCAATACCTGTTTGATTTTTGGCAGCGTTGCCGACCACCAATGTCTGAACAAAGGATAACCAAGAGCAAGGGAAGCAAAACATGATTCGACCCAGGTTCGAACTGAGGACCGCCTGTGCACATGCGTTGACTGTGAGACAGAAGTGATAAACCAACTACACCATCGAACTCGTTGGATTCGATACCGAACGTTATGGAGAAGAGGCTCCGCGTCAATTCAATTCAAATTCAAAATCACAACCATTAGTCCTGCATGAAACCTGCATTCCATAAAGTGCACCAGTTGGCAGAAGCAGACAATTGGATACTTGTACTCACATTTTGAATTATTGTCTCTTTTTCGAGTCCAATTCTGACGTTTTCCTTTCATCTATTCTCCTTGGCGGCTCAGCCGCAAGCCATATGAATAAAATCCATTGAACTCGGCACAATTAGCGTATACTTCACCGCACCGCTGCATTTCGTCCAATGAGTACTACTTTTAGGTATTAGTCCGGTAATACTAACTTTCCCACACCGTCCACAGCATCCCTGAACTGTCAAGCAAGGGCAACGCCTGGCGCAGATGCTCGTGTTCACAGTCGATGTCAGGGTTCTTGGCGCCTCGCCCCAAATGGTTACAGCGCCCTAAGCACTTTATCATGACACTCTGCAGGCGCGGAAATTGTGCGAGGGAAAAAAATGCATCTAGTGCTGCCCAATCGAGCTCCCTGTATGCAGATCCAGACCGATTGACTTCCAGCACAAGGCGCTCGAACGTCGCAGCCGTGAGCTTTGCGATGAACGGTATCACCGGAGGCACGTCGCCTAGCGAAGCGTCGCGGAGTTTCAAGGTTTTGAGGTTTTGGTGCAGCGACAAGTCGATCATCTCCAAAAGTTCGGCTGCGCAGACCAGAATGAGTACATATATTTAGACGAAAACCGCGGTGTAGACGCGAGAATAGCACTGGTGCACCAATCTGCAAGTGAAATCCCGAGAAATTTCTGAAAAGTGTCCGGTCAAGTTCAATCCAGGTGCTGGCGAAAGGTAAAGCTTGGGCAAAAGCCTACAAGATCACTCAACACCACGTGTTAATCAGGTCATTCTGATCAGTACAGCCACATCCTCCGCATCCACGCAAAAGCCCGAAAGCTTTCCACTCGTCTTCCTCGCCGTAAATTCGCATTATTTCCGCTCTTCGCTTGTCCAGAACATCTCCAAATTCGCGAGGAAGAGTCTGACTCGGTCTGATGCTCGCAAAACCTCACCTTCCCGCCACTCTCCTCGGACTAGTCTCGACTCTCGCTAGAGACGCGCCTTTCTACCGTGTAACCGGTCTAGCGAATGTGCAACTCATCTTCGCTTGTAAGGACCAGTTGTTTTTTTTGCATCTCGCTCGCGTATCACCGAGTACGCGTCTATCTTTCCTGCATCTTGTGCGGCGACACGGCAGCTCATTGCAGTTATTTGTCGTGCGTACCTCGTACGTGCCTCCCGTTACGCCGCGTGCCGTGTGAGTTTGTGCTCACTCGTCTCGCACGTCACGGAGAATCGAGGAGGTACCGTATATGGTGCTGCATAGTCTCGTTTCTTTTCGTTCTCTTCGAAAAAACGTGTACTCACACTGGGCAGAGCTATTGTGTTACGGCGTTCTCGTGCGCGCGCGTCGTGGTTCGTCGACCTGGGAAACGGCACACGGTGCCGCCCTCATCCAAATCTCCTCTGGTCCGCTGCACCTGGGCCACGGTGCTGCATCAGTTTCGTTACGTTTTCTCCTGGAAGAACTACCATGTGTCTGAGCAGCACACGGTGCTGGGCAGCCATGCCCTTATCGAACCGCTCCCGCTGTGGTCGGTCGACCTGGGAAAGGGCACACGGTGCTGTGGTCATTAAAAAATCTCTCGTAGTCCGCGACACCGTGGAATCAGCATATGATCTAGCATCTCATATATTCCTTGAGATCTATCGTGTTTCAAAGCCAGGTGGTTGGGTCGTTCTCGATGACGTTCTCACGCCTTGTGCTCAAAAATCACAAATTCTAGCGAAAGAAGACATCCGTGACGATATAGCCCAGCATGTCGGTTGCATCGGCGGCGCAATTCAACTGGATGCATACCGCGCTCTACTCCATTCTGCGGGCTTTAATATATACGAACTGCGGCAGAGGGCCAATCCGCAACGGCCTCCTGCTGTGTATTTTGTCCGGACGGGACTACGGCTATCCCTGAGCCTCGATCTCAACCAGTGGGCAGGTGCGTTTCATTTGAATCTTGAATAGATGTCAGCCAGCTGATGATTGGCAGCGTCTCACCAGATCTATGTCAGAAAGCCCGTGTGCGCCGCACCGGGGGCCACATCCCAACAGCAGTGCTGGAAAAACTGGTGGGACGCCTTCCCCGCGCCAACTCCATCGGCCATTAAGCGCATCTCCCCCACCGCAGAGGCGGTGCCAACGTCGCAGTCATAGACGTCCGCGGGGACGATCGCCAAGTGAGTACACACGCTCTGCGACTTTGGATTCATTCCGGCTGATAGCTGGTCGTCGTGGTAGGGCGGGCACGTCGCGGGAAGCCACCAAGTTGCCGCACAGACACTGCATCCGAATCTCGGGGCGTTCCACACGCAGGTCGCCGCGGCGGGTATGGTGGTGTTTTATTGTGGCCGCAGCAGGCCGGGCGCCACCGTGCGCTGATTGGTGCGTGTGCGCGAACATCAATTAATTGTCCTCGTGTGTGCAATTCTCGCTCTTAGGTATCAAGATTATCTCGACGCCCATTCCATCGCGCGCCTACTGGTCCGGGTGAATTCTCGCGTGGCTGGAGGAGTATTCCGGGATTTGTTTTGTGATCGTTGTTGTTCAAGGCCGCTTCATGACGATATACCTGAAAGATTTATGGAGGCAGAATACGGGTTGAACCGGACCAGGGTCCAACTTGAATGTGGTCAATTTTAATCAATACTAAAGTTCAATTAATTTCAGTTGAGGGCTCAGGTAATTTCTCATGATGGACGGTATGTATCAAGCTGGAGACTTGAATTGGTTATAGGTATGTACATGTACAGCAAAAACGCGAATGGTGGGAAGTCGAAGCCGATAAATAAGCACGCTGCCGACGTGGGCGCGTAAAAGGTGGATGCCGAATGATGGTTATGCCGGTCTGAAAGAGAACTTGAAGTCAGAACAACTCGGAGAGGCGCAAAAAAAGTAGATCAACTCACAAATGATGAGAGCCGATGTGGTTGAACGACGGAAGGAGTTCAAACAATGACGCAGCTGCCGCTGGAGCCTCCGCTACCGTCCTCGTTCATGGGCGGAAGGGTAGTGTCCTCCTTGCAAACGACGCAGCTGCCGCTGGATCCCCCACTGCCGTCCTCGTTGGTGGGAGGGAGGACGACGTCCTCAGCCTTCTTGGTGATGGTGTTGGTGAAAGAGTCCATTGTTGGGAGGATGATTTGGACTGGAAGAGGTGGGAGAATGAGTGGTACTGGGGAGTCCTGAAAATCCCTCCAGCTTTTATACCTGGACGGTAGAAATTCCGTGTATTGTATGGCACAAGAGTGAGACCAACAAAAGAAACCGATCATGATCACGAACAATAAAAAGAGCAGGTCCAAGCGAACGATCGGCAACCTGATCGGGACGAGGAAAACCCTAAACCTGAGACAAGAGTCTGATGACCGGCGAATGCATATGTTTATAATAAAGGCTTGAGCTGCAAGAATTATCGTGACAATGATAGGCCCCAGCGAACAAAAGACGGAGATCGGTGATCGAAAGACAAAATCACCCACTCAACATGTGTTCGACCTTATCAAACTTTCTGTGTTGAGAAGTTGTGGCTCTTGCATTTTTTCAAGGTTTGGGAACACGGAGTGAAGAAGAAAACTGAGCGAACTCGATCTAGCTGGAAAATCAACCGGGCTGGTGGGAGAGCCCATGTGCAAGTTGTGGTTGAGGTGAAATTAGAGGTTGAACTCGCACCATCATCTGCATCATGATGCATTTAATGGCCGCTGCTGTGCCGACGCTGCCCACATTTTTATGCCGTAACATAAGTATTCCCCCACGGTTGAGTGTTTGTAAATCGGCTCATGCGATACCGGACGGCGTACACTATAACGCTCACCGCACGCGGTGCGTGGTTCTCCCCGCGCGGGATGCGGCTGCCGCTAACTCTCCTCTAACTTGGACTCAATCAGATGATTTCACTCCAACCTTGATATCAGATAAGTGCCAAAAAGAATACAAGTTTCAACTCTGTGTCAACCGATACCGACTTCAATCTTAGCCAACAACTCATTGTTGTCTAATCAAAATTTGTTGTTATACAGAGTTCCGGCAGTTGAACGTGTACAACGTCTTTCTTTCTTCCGTTGCTGCATAGTTCTATTTACTCGATTTTTTCCTTCAAATCAACAGAGGGTGTGACGCGTGACCGGTTTTACCTATTCGACAGTTCGACACCCCCAAAATTTCGACATTTCCCACCGAAATTTTCTCCTTTTTGCATCTTTCAGGCAATTTTGGGCTCGGTGTGACGCTTGGGAGGTTCAACAGAGGCCTGCGTGATGCGTGACTGCGACCAAATTTCGGGGTCAACACAGAGGTGCGTGACGCGTGACTGTTGATTTGAAGGAAATAATCCAGTATTCATCTCCATCTCCAATCCCACCACAACACACATGGCTCGTCCCATCAGCCCAAACCTACATTTGACTTTAAGTTTGAGTCCTGCCCAATCCAAAATAAATTGCAACTCCTCTTCATAAGTACTTGCTCCGAGCTTCTCACCTGCCCTATAGCTGCTTACTCCTCCCAACGCAATCAGATCTTTCACCACTTTCATCTGTTTGTGATTTGATCACGCTAACATCAGGAAAAGCAGGGAAAAGCGTTGCCGAGCCCTAGTTGACCCTATTTTCCAATAGGATGCATAGCGCTCATAGCACTCTCTAGTGCTTGGATAGTGCTACCTAGTTTGCCATGTGTGCTAGGGAGCACTAGGGGATCTTGGGTCGTCCAGCATCGGTCATGTAAAGGCATCAGGCTTAATTGGACCATCGGCTTCATGACTTCAAGTCCGTACACACAATGCACACACGTGCTTCACTCCATGGTTGTTCTTTCTTTTTGCCGCCACCTTTCACCATTCAGTCAACGTTTCTTGCTCTACTGTTGGTCCTTGCTGT